TCCGCATTTGAACAGTCAATAGCAAATACGTAAACTAATAACAAAACAGTAGCTGCTTCAGAAGCACCAGATTGTTCTAGTGACGTTCGGAGAATTGTACAGTAAGAAAGTTATTTCCTTTAACCAGGAAATTAACGTTCTTAGAATTGACAAGACGGTTGACCCTGAGTGGTCAGCTAAATATCTACAGTGGATCTAAAATATTAATAGCATAAGGATTGCCTTGGAAGGCTACTACTAACTACTAGAAGCCTACTAGATAATTTAGAAACTGACATACCAGAATACAACGAAAATCCAATAGGGATTTAAAATGGCTCATTTTAGAGTTAAATGCCATGACCAAACCACTCAAATACGAGGTGAAAATCACAACATTACAACATTTGAAGCAATTTATTATCTGAAAAACTGAAAAAAAAAGTATAAATAAAAAATGAAGAAAGAAAAAAAATCTAAATTATCCCTACATAGAAGTACAATCTCACAAATCATTGTGAACAACATAATTGAAATAAAGATGATGGATAAATATAAAACTGTTGATTTAATGGGATAGTTCACCTAAAAATAAAATGTACCCCATGATTTACTCACCCTCAAGCCATCCTAGGTGTATATGACTTTCTTCTTTCAGAACAATACAATTGGAGTTATATTAAAAATGTCCTGGCTCTTCCAAGCTTTATAATGGCAGTAAATTGGTGTTGAGATTTTGAAGTCCATTAAAGTGCATCCATCCATCATAAAAAGTGCTCCACACGGCTCTGGGAGGTTAATAAAGGCCTTCTGAAGTGAATCGATGCATTTGTGTAAGAAAAATATCCATATTTAAAACGTTATAAACTGCAATCTCTAGCTTCCATTAACTGTCGTACGGGCATTCATGAGAGAATGGCGTTTCAGCGGAATTGTGTTTCGGAGGGTGAGTAAATCATGGGGTAATTTTCATTTTTGGGTGAACTATCCCTTTAAAGAAAGAGAAAGAGAAACAATATATCTGACATTTATTGAGAAATATGTATATATAGCAGAGGGAAAGAGCTCATTTAATTAATTTTATTCTCTGATTGGTGGCATTCTTTGATTGGTGCATTATGGGTAATGTAGTTTTTCATCAAGAATTCGGCGTTTGAATATGATAATTTAAAGAAAAGTTGAAATAATATGTGCTGATGGCTTTAACAGAAGTATACCATTGATCAACAACCGAGCTCATTAAACTTTTCTTTAAAAGTCAATAAAGTATCATTAAAAATCAGCTCCCCTATGGAGAAAATGAATTGGATTTTTACTTCTGAAACCCAACTTTTCCACTCTATTACTATAAAAGGACAATAAGA